ATGATGTTGTTGATGTGAATGATGTTGATGTTGTTATGTTTATGATGGTGTTGATTTTGTTGATGATGATGTTGTTGTTGATTTGAATTATGTTGATGATGTTGTTGTTGTTCGTGCTGCTGCTGTTGATTGTTGTGATGTTGTTGATTGTTGTGATGTTGTTGATTGTTGATTTTTGTGATGCTATTGATTGTTGTTGATTGTTGCGATGCTGTTGATTGTTGTTGATAGTTGTGATGTTGATTATTGTTGATTGTTTTGATTTTGATTGTTGCGATGTTGTTGCTTGTTGTTGATTGTTGTGATGTTGTTGATTGTTGTGATGTTGTTGATTGTTGTGATGTTGTTGATTGTTGTTGATTGTTGTGATGTTGTTGATTGTTGTTGATTGTTGTGATGTTGTTGATTGTTGCTGATTGTTGCTTGTTGTGATGTTGTTCATTGTTGTGATTGTTGTTGATTGTTGTTGATTGTTGATTGTTGTGATGTTGTTGATTGTTGTGATGTTGTTGATTGTTGTTGATTGTTGCTTGTTGTGATGTTGTTCATTGTTGTGATTGTTGTTGATTGTTGTTGATTGTTGTTGATTGTTGATTGTTGTGATGTTGTTGATTGTTGTTGCTTGTTGTTGATTGTTGTTGATTGTTGTTGATTGTTGATTGTTGTGATGTTGTTGATTGCCGGCAGGGTTCCCCTGGGCTTCCCGGGTTTGACGGCCCCAAGGGTGAACGAGGACCCCCCGGGATTTCCGGCTTCATTGGTGACCCCCACGCCCCCCACCCCACACACACAGCGTGCTAACCACTGTGCCACCACTCCCCACACGCACACAGACAGGAACACGCGCGAAACGGCACTTTGCCTCAACAACCCATGTAGACTACACGGGGGATATTTGTCTTTGTGCCTGTGTGTGCCTGTGTGTGTGTCTGTGTGTGTGTGTCTGTGTGTGTCTGTGTCTGTGTGTGTGTCTGTGTGTGTGCCTGTGTGTGTGCCTGTGTGTGTCTGTGTGTCTGTGTGTGTGTCTGTGTGTGTGTCTGTGTGTGTGTGTCTATGTGTGTGTGTCTGTGTGTGTGTGTGTCTGTGTGTGTGTGACTGAATCCTTACCCTCGGGGCTCCTCCAGAAACAACGAAAAGCCACTGTGTGTGGCCACGTGGAATGTTCGAACGCTCGCTGTGGAGGAGAGGCTGCCACTCCTCTGTCGGGAGCTGGACCGGTACCGCCTGGATCTCAGTGGCATTCAGGAGGTCCGGTGGACCAGTTCTGGCTCCTGCCACCATGAGGGGTGGACAGTCCTCTACTCGGGGCAGCAGACTGCCAAACAACAGGGTGTGGCGGTGAGGTGTGGGAAGCTGTAAGCCCCAGGCTACTTTGAGCTCGCCTTCCCACCAACCGGAGGCGAGGAGTGGTGGTCGTGGTTACTTATGCCCCCACTGAAGACGAACATCCGTGGAAGGATGCAGGCAAGGCCGATGAGTCAGATGCCTTCTATGACCTCCTGTCACAGGTGCTGGCTAAAGTGGCCCCTCGGGATAGAGTCATCATGTTGGGTGACTTCAATGCCCGAGTTGGTCATGATGCTGGCACCTGGTCTGGAGTGATTGGAAGGCATGGGCCAGATCAGCTCAATAATAACGGTAGGAGGCTGCTAGATTTTTGTGCAGCCCATGGGCTTGTAATTACCAACACGCTGTTCCGGCATCGGCGCACCCACACAACATCATGGATGCATGTCGGGTCCAAGCAAGAACATCTGCTGGCATAGTGACGGACCAGCGGATGCGGGCCCATATCCTTGACACCAGGACCTACTGTGGAGCTGATCTGCCCACTGACCATCGACTTGTCATCTGTAAGATGCGCCTGCCATTCTTCCACTCCGGTGGTGGGTGTACACCCAGGACGCCATTCAAACCCAAGGTGGCCTGGTCTCAGCTACAGTGAGGGAAAAAAGTATTTGATCCCCTGCTGATTTTGTACGTTTGCCCACTGACAAAGGAATGATCAGTCTATAATTTTAATGGTAGGTTTATTTGAACAGTGAGAGACAGAATAACAACAAGAAAATCCAGAAAAATTCATCTCAAAAATGTTATAAATTGATTTGCATTTTAATGAGGGAAATAAGTATTTGACCCCCTCTCAATCAGAAAGATTTCTGGCTCCCAGGTGTCTTTGATACAGGTAACGAGCTGAGATTAGGAGGACACTCTTAAAGGGAGTGCTCCTAATTTCAGCTAGTTGCCTGTATAAAAGACACCTGTCCACAGAAGCAACCAATCAATCAGATTCCAAACTCTCCACCATGGCCAAGACCAAAGAGCTCTCCAAGGATGTCAGGGACAGGATTGTAGACCTACACAAGGCTGGAATGGGCTACAAGACCATTGCCAAGCAGCTTTGTGAGAAGGTGACAACAGTTGGTGCGATTATTGGCAAATGGAAGAAACACAAAAGAACTGTCAATCTCCCTCGGCCTGGGGCTCCATGCAAGATCTCACCTCGTGGAGTTGCAATGATCATGAGAACGGTGAGAAATCAGCCCAGAACTACACGGGAGGATCTTGTCAATGATCTCAAGGCAGCTGGGACCATAGTCACCAAGAAAACAATTGGTAACACACTACGCTGTGAAGGACTGATATCCTGCAGCGCCCGCAAGGTCCCCCTGCTCAAGAAAGCACATATACATGCCCGTCTGAATTTTGCCAATGAACATCTGAATGATTCAGAGGACAACTGGGTGAAAGTGTTGTGGTCAGATGAGACAAAAATGGAGCTCTTTGGCATCAACTCAACTCGAGTTGTTTGGAGGAGGAGGAATGCTGTCTATGACCCCAAGAACACCATCCCCACCGTCAAACATGGAGGTGGAAACATTATGTTTTGGGGGTGTTTTTCTGCTAAGGGGACAGGACAACTTCACCGCATCAAAGGGACGATGGACGGGGCCATGTACCGTCAAATCTTGAGTGAGAACCTCCTTCCCTCAGACAGGGCATTGAAAATGGGGCGTGGATGGATATTCCAGCATGACAATGACCCAAAACACACGGCCAAGGCAACAAAGTAGTGGCACATTAAGGTCCTGGAGTGGCCTAGCCAGTCTCCAGACCTTAATCCCATAGAAAATCTGTGGAGGGAGCTGAAGGTTCGAGTTGCCAAACGTCAGCCTCGAAACCTTAATGACTTGGAGAAGATCTGCAAAGAGGAGTGGGACAAAATCCCTCCTGAGATGTGTGCAAACCTGGTGGCCAACTACAAGAAACGTCTGACCTCTGTGATTGCCAACAAGGGTTTTGCCACCAAGTACTAAGTCATGTTTTGCAGAGGGGTCAAATACTTATTTCCCTCATTAACATGCAAATCAATTTATAACATTTTTGACATGCGTTTTTCTGGATTTTCTTGTTGTTATTCTGTCTCTCACTGTTCAAATAAGCCTACCATTAAAATTATAGACGTAATTTCTTCGTCAGTGAGCAAACGTACAAAATCAGCAGGGGATCAAATACTTTTTTCCCTCACTGTAGCTGATGAAAGTTGCAAGAGAGAATTTCATCATCGCTTGCAGCTGAGGTTGGCATCATCCCCCACTCCTCCTGATGTCGAGGGTAAATGGGCGTGGTTTAGGACTGTGACTCATGCAGCTGCAATGGCTGCTTTGGGTACGCGGTCCAGACCTCCCCAGAGACCCTGGCTGACAGAGGAGGTGTTCAGGATGGTTGAGAAAAAGTGACAGGCCCACTCTCATCGGCTACAGCATCCCACGTCAGAGAATGAGGAGGCTTACCGCAGCCTTCGCTCGGAGGTTCGGAGAGCCGTGAGGCACTGCAAGGATGGGTGGTGGTCGCTGGTTGCTGAGGAGATGGAGTCTGCCTCAGTGGCCCGCGATCACAACTCGCTCTTTAATTCCATCAAAAAAGTGACCTGCAGCGCCACACCTATTACCATCATTAGGGGAAAGAACGGTGATTCAATCTCTGACCCCCAGGAACAGGTTTGCAGATTTGCTGAGCATTTCTGTGAGGTCCTGGGGAAGGGGAAATCCCCTCAGCCAGGAAAACGTGGGACAAAGTGGGGATGACCCTGCTGAGGCTGCGGTGCCTCAAATATTGGAGGAGGAAGTCAGCCCCTGTGAGTGGCTGGCTGGGCTGAGGTGCCATCTGTTGAGGAAATACTGAAGGCGATCCAGAGTCTGAGACCAGGAAAGGCACCGGGCAGAGATCATATCCCAAGCGAAATGTTGAGGGAGGGTGGCATTTGTGCACAGACTGCCCTATATGACATCATAACAACAGTCTGGACCACTGGACGGGTTCCGCAGGATTGGAAGGATGCCCTGGTGGTCCCCCTTTTTAAGAAGGGGGACCGCACAGACTGTAACAACTACAGGGGCATCTTACTCCTCAGTGTGCCGGGAAAGGTCCTGGCAAGGATTATTCAGCATCGCCTTGCCAGGCACGCTGAGGAGAGGCTTGCGGAGCCCCAATGCGGTTTCAGGAAAGGGCGGTCCTGCACAGATGCCATATTTTCTGTCCGTCTGCTACAGCAGAGGTGTAGGGAATTCCAACAAGACCTACATCTCTGCTTTATTGACCTGGTCAAGGCCTATGATACCATCAGTAGGCCGGGGCTCTGGGTTATTCTTCGTGCTTTTGGAGTACCTGACCCTCTGCTCACGATCATTAAGGACCTTCATGATGGTGAGCGGGCCCGGGTAAAACTACGTGGCCGGGAGTCAGAGCCATTCCCTGTTAACCTTGGGGTGCGACAGGGATGTCTTCTGGCTCTCACATTATTTAACATCTATTTTGACCACGTAGTTCGTGAAGCCTTCAATAGCTGTACCGGGGGAATCTCCATATGGTACAGATATAATGGGAGGCTGATCGACGCCCGGGTGCGGTCAAGGGATGGCTCCCTATTGCTCAACCACGTTATGTATGCTGATGATTTGGTAATAGCTGCACATTCGGAGGAGGAGTTGGAGATGCTGCTGCTGAGACTGGAGCGTGCCACTAAGAGGTGGGGCCTTACCATCAGCCCCACCAAAACTAAGCACCTGCCTGGGTATTTTGTACCATCGGACACTCCACCCCCACAACTCCCAATCGGTGATCGGGCAGTTGTGGAGAGAGTGGAGAGTTTCCCATACCTGGGCAGTGTGCTTATGACCGGCTCCAGTTTAACAGCAGAGGTCTCACTCCGAATTAGTCGAGCGGCAATATCTTTTCATCGGTTGCGTAACGCTGTGTGGAAGCTACCTGGTCTGTCGCTCCGCACTAAGCTTCAGGTCTTCTCGGCCACGGTCATTCCCTCCCTTCTCTACGCTTGCAAAACGTGGACCCCCCTAATGGAACATCTTCGCCGGTTAGAAACAATTAGGCTGGCCTGCCTACGATCCATCCTGGGTTTAACCAGACTGGATTGTGTGAGGAGCTCAAAAATCCTTGAAACATCTGGGCAAGGTTCCATCGGTGAGCTCCTCCGGCGGGGAAGGCTGCGATGGCTGGGTCATGTAGCCCGCATGCCCAGCCACCGCATGCCGAAACAGCTTTTGTTCGGCCGGATTGAGGGGGCTAAGCTGGCGCGGCACGGGCTAGAGAAGAGATGGAGTGATGTGGTACAGGAGGACGTGGAGCTGAGTGGACTTGCCGATGACTGGTACCAGCGGTGTCAAGATCGGCCTCTGTGGAGGAGGCTCGTGAAGGATGCTACTGGGCAGTTGGAGGTAGTCGCCCTCCAACAACAACGGAGGGCGGAGGAGCGATGCTCAGAACAACGAGCGGAGCGCTGGGTGGCTAAAGCACAGCAGGTTGGCACAGGAGGGGGGCACAGGTGGTGCATCAGCCAGTCATCTCAGTCAGTCGACCCGTGGTACCTGGGTCTGCCCCGTGACCTCCTGCCAGCGGGCGTTCGACACTTCACGTGGCCTCAGGGTGCACATAGCCTGGCACAAGCGTCGTGGTGACGTCACCGCCACTTAGTGGCGAATGGCGGTTGTTTTTGTTGTTGTTGTTGTTGTGTGTGACTGTGTGTGTGTGTGTGTGACTGTGTGTGAGACTGTGTGTCTGTGTGTGTGTTTCTGCGTGTGTGTATGTATGTGTGTGTCTGTGTGTGACTGTGTGTGTGTGTGACTGTGTGTGTGTGACTGTGTGTGTGTCTCTGTGTGTGTGACTGTGTGTGTGTGACTGTGTGTGTGTCTGTGTATGTATGTGTGTGTGTTTCTCTGTGTGTGTGTCTGTGTGTGACTGTGTGTGTATGTATGTATGTGTGTCTCTGTGTGTGTGTGTGACTGTGTGTGTGACTGTGTGTGTGTGACTGTCTCTGTGTGTGTGTGACTGTGTGTGTGTGAGTGTGTGTATGTGTGACTGTGTGTGTGTGAGTGTGTGTGTGTCTCTGTGTGTGTGTGTGACTGTGTGTGTGAGTGTGTGTGTGGCTGTGTGTGTGTGAGTGTGTGTATGTGTGTGTGTGTGACTGTGTGTGTGTGAGTGTGTGTGTGTGTCTCTGTGTGCGTGTGTGTGTGACTGTGTGTGTGTCTGTGTGTATGTGTGTGACTGTGTGTGTGTGACTGTGTGTCTGTGTGTGTGTGACTGTGTGTGTGTGTCTGTGTGTGTGTGTCTCTGTGTGTGTATGTATGTGTGTGTCTCTGTGTGTGTGACTGTGTGTCTGTGTGTGTGTGACTGTGTGTGTGACTGTGTGACTGTGACTGTGTGTATGTATGTATGTGTGTGACTGTGTGTGTGACTGTGTGTGACTGTGTGTGTGACTGTGTTTCTGTGTGTGTGACTGTGTGTGTGACTGTGTGTGTGTGTGTGTCTGTGTGTGTCCCAGGTGCTAAGGGCTCCCCTGGCAGCCCCGGGCAGAAGGGGAACGTGGGTCCCACCGGCCCTTCTGGGCCTTCTGGTGATTCATTCACTCGCTCGTGATTCATTCACTCGTGATTCATTCACACGTGATTCATTCACTCGCTCACTCGTGATTCATTCACTCGTGATTCATTTACTCACTCACTCGTGATTCATTCACTCGTGATTCATTCACTCGCTCGTGATTCACTCACTCGTGATTCATTCACTCACTCGTGATTCGTTCACTCGTGAGTCACTCGCTCGGGATTAATTCACTCGCTCGTGAGTCATTCACTCGTGAGTCATTCACTCGCTCGTGATTCATTCACTCACTCGTGAATCATTCACTCGCTCGTGATTCATTCACTCGTGATTCATTCACTCGCTCACTCGTGATTCATTCACTCGCTCGTGATTCATTCACTTGTGATTCATTCACTCGCTCACTCGTGATTCATTCACTCACTCGTGATTCATTCACTCCTCGTGATTCATTCACTCGTGATTCATTCACTCGCTCACTCGTGATTCATTCACTCGCGCGTGATTCATTCACTCGCTCACTCGTGATACATTCACTCACTCCTGATTCATTCACTCGTGATTCATTCGCTCACTCGTGATTAACTCGCTCACTCGTGATTCATTCGCTCACTCATGATTCACTCGCTTCCTCGTGATTCATTCACTCGTGATTAATTCACTCACTCGTGATTCACTCGCTCACTCGTGATTCATTCACTCGTGATTCATTCACTCACTCGTGATTCATCGTTCACTCGTGATTAATTCACTCACTCGTGATTCACTCGCTCACTCGTGATTAATTCACTCACTCGTGATTCACTCGTTCACTCGTGAATCGTTCACTCGTGATTCATTCACTCACTCGTGATTCATTCACTCGTGATTAATTCACTCACTCGTGATTTATTCACTCGTGATTCATTCGCTCACTCGTGATTCACTCGCTCACTCGTGATTAATTCATTCACTCGTGATTCACTCGCTCACTCGTGATTCATTCACTCGTGATTAATTCACTCACTCGTGATTCACTCGCTCACTCGTGATTCATTCACTCGTGATTCATTCACTCACTCGTGATTAACTCGCTCACTCGTGAATCGTTCACTCGTGATTAATTCACTCACTCGTGATTCACTCGCTCACTCGTGATTCATTCACTCGTGATTCAGTCACTCACTCGTGATTCATTCGCTCGTGATTCACTCACTCACTCGTGAATCACTCACTCGTGATTCATTCACTCGTGATTCATTCACTCGTGATTCATTCACTCGTGATTCATTCACTCACTCGTGATTAATTCACTCACTCGTGATTCACTCGCTCACTCGTGATTAATTCACTCACTCGTGAATCACTCGCTCGTGATTCGTCCACTCGTGATTCATTCACTCACTCGTGATTCATTCACTCGTGATTCATTCACTCGTGATTCATTCACTCGTGATTCATTCACTCACTCGTGAATCACTCACTCGTGATTCATTCACTCGTGATTCATTCACTCACTCGTGATTCACTCGCTCACTCGTGATTCATTCACTCGTGATTCATTCACTCATTCGTGATTCATTCACTCGTGAGTCACTCGCTCACTCGTGATTAATTCACTCACTCGTGATTCATTCACTCGTGATTCATTCACTCGTGATTCATTCACTCACTCGTGAATCACTCACTCGTGATTCATTCACTCGTGATTCATTCACTCACTCGTGAATCACTCACTCGCTCGTGATTCATTCACTCGTGATTCATTCACTCGTGATTCATTCACTCACTCGTGATTCATTCACTCGTGATTCATTCACTCACTCGTGAATCACTCACTCGTGAATCATTCACTCGTGATTCATTTACTCACTCGTGATTCACTCGCTCACTCGTGATTCATTCACTCGTGATTCATTCACTCATTCGTGATTCATTCACTCGTGAGTCACTCGCTCACTCGTGATTAATTCACTCACTCGTGATTCATTCACTCGTGATTCATTCACTCGTGATTCATTCACTCACTCGTGAATCACTCACTCGTGATTCATTCACTCGTGATTCATTCACTCGCTCGTGAATCACTCACTCGCTCGTGATTCGTCCACTCGTGATTCATTCACTCACTCGTGATTCACTCGCTCACTCGTGATTCATTCACTCGTGAATCACTCACTCGCTCGTGATTCGTCCACTCGTGATTCATTCACTCGCTCGCTCGTGATTTGTCCACTCGTGATTCATTCACTCACTCGTGATTCACTCGCTCACTCGTGATTCATTCACTCGTGAATCACTCACTCGCTCGTGATTCGTCCACTCGTGATTCATTCACTCGCTCGCTCGTGATTTGTCCACTCGTGATTCATTCACTCACTCGTGATTCACTCGCTCACTCGTGATTCATTCACTCGTGAATCACTCACTCGCTCGTGATTCGTCCACTTGTGATTCATTCACTCGCTCGCTCGTGATTCGTCCACTCGTGGCGTCTGTCTCTGCAGGCCTCCCAGGCCGTGCAGGGGCACCTGGCAGCGCTGTCGGCGGTGTGCCGGGCCCTGGCGGACCCCCAGGACCTGTGGGACCCCCTGGGGTTAGCGGATTGCCGGGATCACCGGGGCCACTGGGTAAGCAACAGGAGTCTGTGTGTGTGTGTGTGTCTCCTCGCGGTGCCGGACGGGCAACTCTGTCGTGGACAGTGCTGTGGGGGGAGTTCCAATTTTGATTGGCTCCTCCCCTCATGGCATATGTGTCCACCACAGGGGCTAAACGGGGGCTCTGGACGGGTGCGAGGGGCTGGTAACCCCTCCACCTTCAATTAATTACCACAAAACCACGAATTAAAGTTGTAACAACTAAGCTTGTGCCGGAGGCCCCGGGGGGCCAGGCGTCTATGACGTCTCCTGGCCAAACCCCAATTGGCGGAGCCAGGAGATTGAATACCTACCCTCGGGGCTACTCCAGAAACAACGAAAAGCCACTACGGGTGGCCACGTGGAATGTTCGAACGCTCACTGCAGAGGAGAGGCTGCCACTCCTCTGTCGGGAGCTGGACCGGTACCGCCTGGATCTATGCGGCATTCAGGAGGTCCGGTGGACCGGCTCTGGCTCCTGCCACCATGAGGGGTGGACAGTCCTCTACTCGGGGCAGCAGACTGCCAAACAACAGGGTGTGGGTCTTCTTTTGAACAAAAGAATGAAGGGGGCGTGGGAGCGTGGCGGTGAGGTGTGGGAAGCTGTAAGCCCCAGGCTACTTTGGGCTCGCCTTCCCATCAACCGGAGGCGAGGAATGGTGGTCGTGGTTACTTATGCCCCCACCGAAGATGAACATCCGTGGAGGGATGCAGGCAAAGCCGATGAGTCAGATGCCTTCTATGACCTCCTGTCACAGGTGCTGGCTAAAGTGGCCCCTCGGGATAGAGTCATCATGTTGGGTGACTTCAATGCCCGAGTTGGTCATGATACTGGCACCTGGTCTGGAGTGATTGGAGGGCATGGGCCAGATCAGCTCAATAACAATGGTAGGAGGCTGCTAGATTTTTGTGCAGCCCATGGGCTTGTAATTACCAACACGCTGTTCCGGCATCGGCGCATCCACACAACATCATGGATGCATGCCGGGTCCAAGCAAGAACATCTGCTGGACTACATAGTGACGGACCAGCGAATGCGAGCCCATGTCCTTGACACCAGGACCTACCGTGGAGCTGATCTGCCCTCTGACCATCGACTAGTCATCTGTAAGATGCGCCTGCCATTCTTCCACTCCGGTGGTGGGTGTACACCCAGGACCCCATTCCAACCTAAAGTGGCCTGGTCTCAGTTATCTGATGAAAGTTGCAAGCGAGAATTTCATCATCGCTTGCGGCTGGGATTGGCATCGTCCCCGACTCCTCCTGATGTCGAGGGTAAATGGGCGAGGTTTAGGACTGTGACTCATGCAGCTGCAATGGCTGCTTTGGGTACGCGGTCCAGACCTCCCCAGACACCCTGGATGACAGAGGAGTTGTTCAGGATGGTTGAGAAAAAGCGACAGGCCCACTGTCATCGGCTACAGAATCCCACGTCAGAGAATGAGGAGGCTTACCGCAGCCTTCGCTCGGAGGTTCGGAGAGCCGTGAGGCGCTGCAAGGATGGGTGGTGGTCGCGGGTTGCTGAGGAGATGGAGTCTGCCTCAGTGGCCCGTGATCACAAATCGCTATTTAACTCCATCAAAAAAGTAACCTGCAGCGCCACACCTATTACCATCATTAGGGGAAAAAACGGTGATCCAATTTCCGACCCCCAGGAACAGGTTCGCAGATTTGCTGAGCATTTCTGTGAGGTCCTGGGGGAGGGAAAATCCCACAGCCAGGAAAACATCGTGGCACAAAGTGAGGATGACCCTGCTGAGGCTGCGGTGCCTCAAATATTGGATGAAGTCATCCCCTGTGAGTGGCTGGCTGAGGTGCCATCTGCTGAGGAAGTATTGAAGGCGATCCGGAGTCTGAGACCAGGAAAGGCAGCGGGCAGAGATGATCTCCCAAGCGAAATGCTGAGGGAGGGTGGCGTTTGTGCACAGACTGCCCTATATGACATCATAACAACAGTCTGGACCACTGGACGGGTTCCGCAGGATTGGAAGGATGCCCTGGTGGTCCCCCTTTTTAAGAAGGGGGACCGCACAGACTGTAACAACTACAGGGGCATCTCACTCCTCAGTGTGCCGGGAAAGGTCCTGGCAAGGATTATTCAGCATCGCCTTGCCAGGCACGCTGAGGAGAGGCTTGCGGAGCCCCAATGCGGTTTCAGGAAAGGGCGGTCCTGCACAGATGCCATATTTTCTGTCCGTCTGCTACAGCAGAGGTGTAGGGAATTCCAACAAGACCTACATCTCTGCTTTATTGACCTGGTCAAGGCCTATGATACCATCAGTAGGCCTGGGCTCTGGGTCGTTCTTCGTGTTTTTGGAGTACCTGACCCTCTGCTCACGATCATTAAGGACCTTCATGATGGTGAGCGGGCCCGGGTAAAACTACGTGGCCGGGAGTCAGAGCCATTCCCTGTACACCTTGGGGTGCGACAGGGATGTCCTCTGGCTCCCACATTATTTAACATCTATTTTGACCACGTAGTTCGTGAAGCCTTCAATAGCTGTACCGGGGGAATCTCCATATGGTACAGATATAATGGGAGGCTAATCGATGCCCGGGTGCGGTCAAGGGATGGCTCCCTATTGCTCAACCACGTTATGTATGCTGATGACTTGGTAATAGCTGCTCAGTCAGAGGAGGAGTTGGAGACGCTGCTGCTGAGACTGGAGCGTGCCACTAAGAGGTGGGGCCTTACCATCAGCCCCACCAAAACTAAGCACCTGCCTGGGTATTTTGTACCATCGGACACTCCACCCCCACAACTCCCAATCGGTGATGGGGCAGTTGTGGAGAGAGTGGAGAGTTTCCCATACCTGGGCAGTGTGCTTATGACTGGCTCCAGTTTAACAGCAGAGGTCTCACTCCGAATCAGTCGAGCGGCAATATCTTTTCATCGGTTGCGTAACGCTGTGTGGAAGCTACCTGGTCTGTCGCTCCGCACTAAGCTTCAGGTCTTCTCGGCCACGGTCATTCCCTCCCTTCTCTACGCTTGCGAAACGTGGACCCCCCTAATGGAACATCTTCGCCGGTTAGAAACATTTAGGCTGGCCTGCCTACGATCCATCCTGGGTTTAACCAGACTGGATTGTGTGAGGAGCTCACAAATCCTTGAAAGATCTGGGCAGGGTCCCATCGGTGAGCTCCTCCGGCAGGCAAGGCTGCGATGGCTGGGTCATGTAGCCCGCATGCCCAGCCACCGCATGCCGAAACAGCTTTTGTTTGGCCGGATTGAGGGGGCTAAGCGGGCGCGGCACGGGCTAGAGAAGAGATGGAGTGATGTGGTACAGGAGGACGTGGAGCTGAGTGGACTTGCCGATGACTGGTACCAGCGGTGTCAAGATCGGCCTCTGTGGAGGAGGCTCGTGAAGGATGCTACTGGGCAGTTGGAGGCAGTCGCCCTCCAACAACAACGGAGGGCGGAGGAGCGACGCTCACAACAGCGAGCGGAGCGCCGGGTGGCTAAAGCACAGCAGGTTGGCACAGTAGGGGGCACAGGTGGTGCATCAGCCAGTCATCTCAGTCAGTCGACCCGTGGCACCTGGGTCTGCCCCGTGACCTCCTGCCAGCGGGCGTTCGACACTTCACGTGGCCTCACGGTGCACATAGCCTGGCACAAGCGTCGTGGTGACGTCACCGCCACTTAGTGGCGAATGGCGGTTGTTGTTGTTGTTGTTGTTGTGTCTGTGTGTGTGTGTGACTGTGTGTGTGTGTGTGACTGTGTGTGTGTCTGTGTGTGTGTGACTGTGTGTGTGTCTGTGTGTGTGTCTGTGTGTGTGACTGTGTGTGTCTGTGTGTGTCTGTGTGTGTGTCTGTGTGTGTGTCTGTGTGTGTCTGTGTATGTGTGTGTGTCTGTGTGTGTGTCTGTGTGTGTCTGTGTGTGTGTGTGTCTGTGTGTGTGTGTGTCTGTGTGTGTCTGTGTGTGTCTGTGTGTGTCTGTGTGTGTCTGTGTGTGTGTGTCTGTGTGTGTGTGTCTGTGTGTGTGTGTCTGTGTGTGTCTGTGTGTGTGTGTCTGTGTGTGTTCCCGCTCACGGCCAACACCGGTGACGATTATCTGAACCGGTCCTGGAACTCCCCTAGGTGGACTCAGCCTCAAATGAGTACCTGGTGTAGCGGTGGTGTAGTAAACATCGCCACTGGGGAGACAAAGGCGGCCGGGCGTGGTGCTGGCCACCCACCCCCTCGTGTGCCGTTCCGGCCTTCATAGGTGCTGCTCGCTAACAGCACTTGCCCCTACAGTCTGTAGATGCTACACGGGGGACCTTTGTCTGTGTCTACCTTCATAGGTGCTGCTACTCGCTACTAACAGCACTTGCCCCAGCAGTGTGTAGAGGCTACACGGGGTACCTTTGTCTGTGTCTACCTTCATAGCTGCTGCTACTCGCTACTTACAGCACTTGCCCCAGCAGTGTGTAGAGGCTACACGGGGGACCTTTGTCTATGTCTACCTTCATAGGTGCTGCTGCTACTCGCTACTAACAGCACTTGCCCCAGCAGTGTGTAGAGGCTACACGGGGGACCTTTGTCTGTGTCTACCTTCATAGCTGCTGCTGCTACTCGCTACTAACAGCACTTGCCCCAGCAGTGTGTAGAGGCTACACGGGGGACCTTTGTCTGTGTCTACCTTCATAGGTGCTGCTGCTACTCGCTACTAACAGCACTTGCCCCAGCAGTGTGTAGAGGCTACACGGGGTACCTTTGTCTGTGTCTACCTTCATAGCTGCTGCTACTCGCTACTAACAGCACTTGCCCCAGCAGTGTGTAGAGGCTACACGGGCGACCTTTGTCTGTGTCTACCTTCACAGGTGCTGCTGCTACTCGCTACTAACAGCACTTGCCCCTACAGTCTGTAGAGGCTACACGGGGGATCTTTGTCTGTGTCTACCTTCATAGCTGCTGCTACTCGCTACGTACAGCACTTGCCCCAGCAGTGTGTAGAGGCTACACGGGGGACCTTTGTCTGTGTGTGCGACATCCCCAGGTGTTCCGGGCGTCTCCGGCGACCCTGGGGAGGATGGCAACCCGGGATTTGACGGCTTCCCCGGAGAGAAAGGGGACCCGGGGTCATCGGGGGGGCCCAGGTAGACACACCCCCTCGTGACCCCCTCGTGACCCCCTCGTGACCCCCTCTAGACACACCCCCTCGTGACTCCCTCGTGACCCCTCTAGACACACCCCCTCGTGACCCCCTCTAGACACACCCCCTCTAGACCCCTCGTGACCCCCTCGTGACCTCCTCGTGACCCCCTCGTGACCCTCTCTAGACACACCCCCTCGTGACCCCCTCGTGACCCCCTCGTGACCCTCTCTAGACACACCCCCTCGTGACCCCCTCGTGACCCCCTCGTGACCCCCTCTAGACACACCCCCTCGTGACTCCCTCGTGACCCCTCTAGACACACCCCCTCGTGACCCCCTCTATACACACCCCCTCTAGACCCCTCGTGACCCCCTCGTGACCCCCTCTAGACACACCCCCTCGTGACCCCCTCGTGACCCCCTCTAGACACACCCTCCCGTGACCCCCTCGTGACCCCTTCGTGACCCCCTCTAGACACACCCCCTCGTGACCCCCTCTAGACACACCCCCTCGTGACCCCCTCTAGACACACCCCCTCGTGACCCCCTCTAGACACACCCCCTCTTGACCCCCTCTAGACACACCCCCTCGTGACCCCCTCTAGACACACCCCCTCGTGACCCCCTCTAGACACACCCCCTCGTGATCTCGTCTAGACACACCCCCTCGTGACCCCCTCTAGACACACCCCCTCGTGACTCCCTCTATACCCACCCCCTCTAGACCCCTCGTGACCCCCTCGTGACCCCCTCTAGACACACCCCCTCGTGACCCCTTCGTGACCCCCTCTAGACACACCCTCTCGTGACCCCCTCGTGACCCCTTCGTGACCCCCTCTAGACACACCCCCTCGTGACCCCCTCTAGACACACCCCCTCGTCACCCCCTCGTGACCCCTTCGTCACCCCCTCTACACACACCCCCTCGTGACCCCCTCTAGACACACCCCCTCTTGACCCCCTCTAGACACACCCCCTCGTGACCCCCTCTAGACACACCCCCTCATGACCCCCTCTAGACACACCCCCTCGTGACCCCCTCTACACACACCCCCTCGTGACCCCTCGTGACCCCCTCTAGACACACCCCTTCGTGACCCCCTCTAGACACACCCCCTCGTGACCCCCTCTAGACACACCCCCCCGTGACCCCTCGTGACCCCCTCTAGACACACCCCCTCGTGACCCCATCTAGACACACCCCCTCGCGACCCCCTCTAGACACACCCCCTCGTGACCCCTCGTGACCCCCTCTAGACACACCCCCTCGTGATCCCCTCTAGACACACCCCCTCGTGACCCCTCGTGATCCCCTCTAGACACACCCCCTCGTGACCCCCTCTAGACACACCCCCTCGTGACCCCTCGTGACCCCCTCCTGACCCCTCGTGACCCCCTCTAGACACACCCCCTCGTGACGTCGTGTGACGAGGGGGGTGGGGGGAGTTTGAGAAATGTGACGTCACATCAAATTGCGCAACTTTACAAATAAATACGGACGACACGTTCTAACTTAATTAAAAATACTTTTTAATAAATGTTTTCTCCTACAACATCGGAGTGCAGCGCAACATTAAACGCGCAACTACAATGACTAATAGTTTAAAGCGATTTGAAGCACGTTTTATTTTTTTTCGCGGTGGGTGGGTGGGGGGGGCAAAGCTTTGTGACGTCATATTTGAGGGGGGGGGGTGTGTGTCTGACTCTTTGTGACGTCACGTGACGACGAGGGGTTTGGGGGGTCAAAAAATCGTCCATAATCGCTTGACGTCATTCATGGACGGCCCCTAACAGCACTTGCCCCGGCGGTCTGTTGATCCCCCTGGCACTTGGGCCCAGGCGAAGTGCGTGGGCTACACGGGGCACCTTTGTCTTTGTTGCCCGCAGGCCCGCACGGATACCCCGGGAGCAAGGGGGACGTGGGATTCCCCGGACCCCCGGGTACCCCTGGAGTCATCACGGGATCCATGCGGCGGACGCGGCACGGATTCATGATTTCACGTCACTCGCAGGTGGGTGGGTCGGTGGGTGGGTAGGTGAGAAGGTGGGTGGGTGGGTGAGTGGGTGGGTGAGTGGGTGGGTGGGTGAGTGAGTGGGTTGGTGGGTGGATGAGTCGGTAGGTGGGTGGGTGAATGGGTGAGTGGGTGGATGAGTGAGTTGGTGGGTGAGTGAGTTGGTGTGTGGGTGGGTGAATGAATGGGTGGGTGGGTGAGTGGGTGGGTGGGTGAGTGAGTGGGTGGGTGAGTGGGTGGGTGAGTAGGTGAGTGGGTGGGTGAGTGAGTGGGTGGGTGAGTTGGTGTGTGGGTGGGTGAATGAATGAATGGGTGGGTGGGTGAGTGGGTGGGTGAGTGGTTGAGTGGGTGGGTGGGTGGGTGAGTGGGTGGGTGAGTTGGTGTGTGGGTGGGTGAATGAATGGGTGGGTGGGTGAGTGGGTGGGTGGGTGAGTGAGTGGGTGGGTGAGTGGGTGGGTGAGTAGGTGAGTGGGTGGGTGAGTGAGTGGGTGGGTGAGTTGGTGTGTGGGTGGGTGAATGAATGAATGGGTGGGTGGGTGAGTGGGTGGGTGAGTGGTTGAGTGGGTGGGTGGGTGAGTGGGTGGGTGAGTTGGTGTGTGGGTGGGTGAATGAATGAATGGGCGGGTGGGTGAGTGGGTGGGTGGGTGGGTGAGTGAGTGGGTGGGTGAGTGGGTGGGTGAGTAGGTGAGTGGGTGGGTGAGTGAGTGGGTGAGTAGGTGGGTGTGTGGGTGGGTGAGTGGGTGGGTGAGTAGGTGAGTGGGTGGGTGAGTGAGTGGGTGAGTAGGTGGGTGAGTGAGTGGGTGAGTGGGTGAATGGATGGGTGAGTGGGTGGGTGGGTGAGTAGGTGGGTGGGTGGGTGAGTAGGTGGGTGGGTGGGTGAGTGGGTGAATGGATGGATGGGTGAGTGGGTGGGTGAGTGTGTGGGTGAGTGGGTGGGTGAGTAGGTGGGTGGGTGGGTGAGTAGGTGGGTGGGTGGGTGAGTGGGTGAATGGATGGATGGGTGAGTGGGTGGGTGAGTGTGTGGGTGCGTGGGTGGTTGTGTGGGTGGTTGAGTGGGTGGGTGAGCCGGTGGGTGTGTGGATGCCTGCGTATGCCACTGATGCTTGTGGCTGTCTGGTGAGACGTTCGCTCCCTGCATCCCCCCGTCCCCCCCTACAGAGCACGGAGCTCCCGACATGCCCCCAGGGAACGACGCTGATCTACACCGGCTACTCGCTCCTTTACTTGCAGGGAAATGAACGCGCGTACGGACAGGACCTGGGTACGTGGGCACGCGCGCGTGTGTGTCTGTGTGTGTGTCTGTGTGTGTGTCTGTGTGTGTGTCTGTGTGTGTCTGTGTGTGTCTGTGTGTGTGTCTGTGTGTCTGTGTGTGTGTCTGTGTGTGTGTCTGTGTGTCTGTGTGTGTATGTGGGGAGCGGTAGTGTAGCGGTTAGCGCTACGCTGCGCTGTGAACCTGGCGACCCGGGTTCGATTCCAGCTCACGGCCAACACCAGTGACGATTATCTGAACCGGTCCCGGGCCTCCCCTAGGTCGACTCAGCCTCAAATAAGTACCTGGTGCGATGTGTAAACATCGCCACTGGGGAGACAAAGGCGGCCGGGCGTGGTGTTGGCCACCCACCCCTTCGTGTGCCGTGCCGGCCTTTATAGGTTCTGCTGCTCGCTAACAGCACTTGCCCCTACAGTCTGTTAAGGCTATATGGGGGATATTTGTCTTTGTGTGAGTTGGCACAGTAGGGGGTACAGGTGGTGGTGCATCTGCCAGTAGTCATCTCAGTCAACCCGTGGCACCTGCTGGGTCCCGTGACCTCCTGCACCTAGCCTGGCACAGTAGGGGGCACAGCTGGTGGTGCATCAGCCAGTCGTCATCTCAGTCAGTCAACCCATGGCACCTGCTGGGTCTGTCCCCGTGACCTCCTGCACCTAGCCTGGCACAGTAGGGGGCACAGCTGGTGGTGCATCTGCCAGTAGTCATCTCAGTCGGTCAACCTCATGGCACCTGCTGGGTCTGTCCCCGTGACCTCCTGCACCTAGCCTGGCACAGTAGGGGGCACAGCTGGTGGTGCATCTGCCAGTAGTCATCTCAGTCAGTCAACCTCATGGCACCTGCTGGGTCTGTCCCCGTGACCTCCTGCACCTAGCCTGGCACAGTAGGTGGCACAGCTGGTGGTGCATCTGCCAGTCGTCATCTCAGTCGGTCAACCTCATGGCACCTGCTGGGTCTGTCCCCGTGACCTCCTGCACCTAGCCTGGCACAGTAGGTGGCACAGCTGGTGGTGCATCTGCCAGTAGTCATCTCAGTCGGTCAACCTCATGGCACCTGCTGGGTCTGTCCCCGTGACCTCCTGCACCTAGCCTGGCACAGTAGGGGGCACAGCTGGTGGTGCATCTGCCAGTAGTCATCTCAGTCAGTCAACCTCATGGCACCTGCTGGGTCTGTCCCCGTGACCTCCTGCACCTAGCCTGGCACAGTAGGTGGCACAGCTGGTGGTGCATCTGCCAGTCGTCATCTCAGTCGGTCAACCTCATGGCACCTGCTGGGTCTGTCCCCGTGACCTCCTGCACCTAGCCTGGCACAGTAGGTGGCACAGCTGGTGGTGCATCTGCCAGTCGTCATCTCAGTCGGTCAACCTCATGGCACCTGCTGGGTCTGTCCCCGTGACCTCGTGCACCTAGCCTGGCACAGTAGGGGGCACAAGTGGTGCATCTGCCAGTAGTCATCTCAGTCAGTCAACCCATGGCACCTGCTGTGTCTGTCCACGTGACCTCCTGCACCTAGCCTGGCACAGTAGGTGGCACAGCTGGTGGTGCATCTGCCAGTCGTCATCTCAGTCGGTCAACCTCATGGCACCTGCTGGGTCTGTCCCCGTGACCTCCTGCACCTAGCCTGGCACAGTAGGTGGCACAGCTGGTGGTGCATCTGCCAGTAGTCATCTCAGTCGGTCAACCTCATGGCACCTGCTGGGTCCGTCCCCGTGACCTCCTGCCGGCGGGCGGTTCGACGCTCCACGTGGCGGCCTTGACGTGCACCCGGCCTGGCACAGGCGCCGCCGACGGCACTTGCCCTCGGCAGTCCGTTGACGGCCACGCGGGGGGACCTTTGTCTTTGCCTCGTAGGCACGCTGGGCAGCTGCCTGCCCCGCTTCAGCACCATGCCGTTCATGTTCTGCGACGTGAGCGCCGTCTGCAACTTCGCTTCGCGGAACGACTACTCCTACTGGCTGTCCACCAGCCAGCCCATGCCAGCCAGCATGGCGCCCGTGTCGGGGCCTCAGATACAGCCCTTCATCAGCAGGTGGGCGCCGGGGGCGGTGAGCGTGCGGTGAGCGTGCGGTGAGCGTGCGGCGAGCGAGCGGTGAGCCGACAAGCCGCCCGTATGTGGGTGGGTAGCGGCGAGTGAGGGTGAGCGGACGGGGTGAGCGAGCGAGGGAGCGATTGAGCGAGCCGGGGTAAGTGACCCGACCGGCCGACCGATCGATTGACCGACCGATTGACCGACCGACCGAACGATTGACTGACCGAATGGCCGACCGACCGAATGACCGACCGACCGATTGACCGAACTATTGACTGACCGATTGACCGACCGACAGATTGACTGACCGATTGACCGACTGATTGACCGATCGACCGACCGACCAATGGACCGACCAATTGACCGACCGATTGACTGACACATTGACCGACCGACCGATTGACTGACCAATTGACCGACCGATTGACCGACCGACAGATTGACCGACTGATTGACCGACTGATCGACCGACCAACCAATTGACCGACCGATTGACCGATTGACCGACCGATTGACCGACCGATTGACCGAACGATTGACCGACCGATTGACCGACCGATTGACTGACGAACCGATTGACTGACCGACAGATCCGACCGACCGATTGACCGACCGATTGACCGACCGATTGACCGATCGACCGACCGACCGATTGACCGACCGACCGAGCCGCTCGCAAGCGGCAACTCCCCCGGCCAGCGCGTTGACGCTACGCGGTGGTGGTGGTGGGTGGTGGTGGTGTGGTGGTGTGGGGTGGTGGTGGGTGGGTGGTGGTGGTGGTGATGGTGTGGGGTGGTGGCGTGACCTTTGTCCGCTCAGGTGTGCGGCGTGCGAGGCTCCTGGGCTCGTCATCGCCGTGCACAGTCAGTCGGTGCGCCTGCCCAGCTGCCCCGGGGGCTGGGACACGCTGTGGATCGGATACTCGTTCGTCATGGTACGGGCACAACGCGCACACACGCACACACGCACGCACGCAAAGCCAAAGATCCACCCGTATGGCCTGTACGGACTGCCGGGGCAAGGCAGAGGCTGTGGCACACGGAGGTGGGTGGGTGGCCACCAGCACCACGGGCCAGGTGCGCGTTTGAAGGCTGAGTCGACCTAGGGGGAGGCCCAGGACCGGTGCCGATAATCCTCACCGTTGCGGGGAATCGAACCCGGGTGGCCGGGTTGGTGGTGCGGAAGTAACGCTAACCACTTGCACTGCCACTCCCCGCGCACAGCTACACACGGGACACAGATTCACCGTGTAGCCTGTAACAGACTGTCGGGGCAAGCGCTGTTAGCGAGCACCTATTAAGGCCGGGACGGCACACGAGGGGGTGGGTGGCCAGCACACACACAGCTACACAAACACCAAGCTGCACACACAGGTACACAAAGACAAAGATCCCCCATATAGCCTTAACAGACTGTAGGGGCAAGTGCTGTTAGCGAGCACCTATGAAGGCCGGAACGGTACACGAGGGGGTGGGTGGCCAGCACCACGCCCGACTGCCTTTGTCTCCCTAGTGGCAATGTTTACACACCGCACCAGGTACTCATTTGAGGCTGAGTCGACCTAGGGGAGGCCCGGGACCGGTTCAGAAAACCCTCACTGGTGTTGGCCGTGAGCGGGTATCGAACCCGGGTCGCCAGGTTCATAGCGCAGCGCGCTAACCGCTACAATATCGCTCCCCACACACAGGTACACACACACAGGTACACACACACAGGTACACACACACAGGTACACACAGGTACACACACAGGTACACACACAGGTACACAACAACAACAACTGCCATTCGCCACTAAGTGGCGGTGACGTCACCACGACGCTTGTGACAGGCTATGTGCACAGGTACACACATAGGTACACACACACAGGTACACACAAAGACAATTCTATCTCCCTCCATCCCCCTCTTCCTCCCCCCCCTCCTTCCCCCTCCTCCTCCACCCCCCCCTCCTCCACCCCCCCCCCTCCTCCACACCCCCCCTCCTCCACCCCCCCCCCTCCTCCACCCCCCCCCTCCTCCACCCCCCCCCCCTCCTCCACCCCCCCCTCCTCCACCCCCCCTCCTCCACCCCCTCCTACCCCCTGGTGCTCTCTCCCCCCAATTATAACTCCCTCCTACCCCCCCCCTCCTCCCCCCCCCTCCTCCCCCCCTCCTCCCCCCCCCCTCCTTCCCCCCTCCTCCACCCCTCCTCCACCCCCCCCCCCCCTCCTCCACCCCTCCTCCCCACACTCCTCCACCACCCCCCTCCACCACCCCTCCTCCCCCCCCTCCTCCCCCTGGTGCTCTCTCCCCCCAATTTCAACTCCCTCCATCCCCCCTTCCTCCCCCCCCCCACAATACCCCCCCCCCGCCACTCCTCCACCCACCCTCCGCCCCGCCCCCCAGCACGTGAGCGCGGGTGCCGAGGGCTCCGGGCAGCCGCTGTCGTCCCCGGGCTCGTGCCTGGAGGAGTTCCGCCCCGCGCCCTTTGTCGAGTGCCACGGCCGCGGCACGTGCAACTACTACACCAACTCCTACTCCTATTGGCTCGCCGACATCGACGCGCGCCACATGTTCCGGTGACGTAGGGCGGGGGGGCGGGGCGGTGGGCGGGGCGGCAGGGCGGTGGGCGGGGCGGCAGGGGCGGTGGGCGGGGCGGCAGGGCGGTGGGCGGGGCGGCAGGGGCGGTGGGCGTGGCGGCAGGGTGGTGGGCGGGGCGGCAGGGGCGGTGGGCGGGGCGGCAGGGGCGGTGGGCGTGGCGGCAGGGCGGTGATGCGGATCACGTGGGCACTTTGTCTATTCCTATATCTTGTTACTGGCAAAGGAGGTCTCATAATGTAAATGCTCACCCCGAGCACCTCAATAACTCTGATAGTGCGCTGTTTTTTGAGCTGCACGCCTTTTGGCGTCTTCTGGTCCAACACCAGTGTGAGACTTAAGGGCTCTAAGAAAAGCCGTCTCGGGTGTGGACCAATCAAATTCGAGGACAGTGCCAATATTATTATCAGAGTTGTCTTTTTTGTTTGCATTTTGACTGCTTGTGTTGTGGTTATTGCAAATATGATGCCTTGAATAAAGGTGTCAGTTTTTGTGCCAGTTAAAAGGGTAAAACCTATTCCTATATCTTGTTACTGGCAAATGAGGTCTCATAATGTAAATGCTCACCCCGAGCACCTCAATAACTCTGATAGTGCGCTGTTTTTTGAGCTGTACGCCTTTTGGCGTCTTCTGGTCCAACACCAGTGGAGACTAAAGGGACCTCTAAGAAAAGCCGTCTCGGGTGTGGACCAATCAAATTCAAGGACAGTGCCAATATCATCAGAGTTGTTATTGGTTATTGCAAACAGGATGCGTTGATAACTAGATTTAAAGCTTTCGTGACTGCTATGATCCATACTCTTTGGTTCTATTGGGTAAAGTCACGTAGGTAAAAAATAAAATAACAAAAATCACGACGTTTCGGCCACAACACAAGCGGCCTTCATCAGGTGAAGGTGGGTTTTTTTTTTTCCACTCCAGCGCTGTCCTCCAGACAGTCTCGTCCCTTCACCTGATGAAGGCCGCTTGTGTTGTGGCCGAAACGTCGTGATTTTTGTTATTTTATCTTTTTTACCTACCTGAATTTACCCAATAGAACCAAAGAGTATGATGCGTTGAATAAAGGTGTCAGTTTTGGTGCCAGATAAAAGGGTAAAAACCTATTGTTATATCATCAATACCGGTTAACGTCACCCACCACGCCTCGCGCAAGAGAAGCAAGTTCCAGCAGCCCCATCGCATTTAGGGGGCAGAGTTCATTCAAATGTTTTGACCCAAATATAACGGGGGGCTAATTTTTAAGTTGATGCATTTCGTACGGCCCGTGAACGATGTTCTAAATATCCAAACGGTCCCTTGGCAGGAAAAAGATTCCCCGCCCCTGATTTAAACAAATAATGAGTAAGATAACAATGGCGTAAAAACTAATTTTAAACACAAATACGAGTTAAATAATGAGCGAAACAACTACAGTTAGGATAATACCGATTGAATAATGATACGTTAAAAATGTTGTAGAAAAACATGAAGAGAATTTTAAAATAAAAATTAGCAGGTCACGTTGAGCTGCAACGTAGCTCTGTTCATGGTGGTGATGTTGACGATGGTGATGGTGGTGATGTTGATGGTGGTGATGTTGACGATGGTGATGGTGGTGATGTTGATGGTGGTGATGGTTGTGATGGTGGTGATGTTGATGGTGGTGATGGTTGTGATGGTGGTGATGTTGATGTTGATGGTGGTGATGTTGATGGTGGTGATGGTGATGATGTTGATGGTGGTGATGTTGACGATGGTGATGGTGGTGATGTTGACGGTGGTGATGTTGACGATGGTGGTGATGTTGACGATGGTGGTGATGTTGACGGTGGTGATGGTGGTGATGTTGACGGTGGTGATGGTGTTGATGGTGGTGATGTTGATGGTGTTGATGGTGATGATGGTGTTGATGGGGTTGATGGTGGTGATGGTTGTGATGGTGGTGATGTTGATGGTGTTGATGGTGGTGATGTTGATGGTGGTGATGGTGGTGATGTTGACGGTGGTGATGGTGTTGATGGTGGTGATGTTGATGGTGTTGATGGTGATGATGGTGTTGATGGGGCTGATGGTTGTGATGGTGGTGATGTTGATGGTGTTGATGGTGGTGATGTTGATGGTGGTGATGTTGATGGTGTTGATGGTGGTGATGGTGGTGATGGTGGTGATGTTGACGATGGTGATGGTGGTGATGTTGATGGTGGTGATGTTGATGGTGGTGATGTTGACGATGGTGATGGTGGTGATGTTGACGATGGTGATGGTGGTGATGTTGACGGTGGTGATAATGATGACGGTGGCGATGATGATGGTGCTGGTGATGTTGACGGTGGTGATGTTGATGGTGTTGATGGTGGTGATGATGATGGTGTTGATGGTGGTGATGGTGTTAATGGGGGTGATGGTGGTGATGGTGGTGATGTTGATGGTGTTGATGGTGGTGATGTTGATGGTGGTGATGGTGTTGATGGGGGTGATGGTGGCGATGGTTATGTTGACGGTCGTGATGTTGATGGTGGTGATGTTGACGGTGGTGATAATGATGATGGTGGTGATGTTGATGATGATGATGTTGATGATGGTGTTGATGTTGATGGTGTTGATGTTGATGGTGATGATGTTGATGATGGTGTTGATGTTGATGATGTTGATGATGATGGTGATGTTGATGGTGGTGATGTTGATGGTGTTGATGTTGATGGTGTTGATGATGGTGGTGATGGTGGTGTTGATGGTGTTGATGGTGATGTTGATGATGTTGATGGTGTTGATGGTGTTGATGTTGATGATGGTGGTGATGTTGATGTTGATGATGGTGATGTTGATGATGGTGGTGATGTTGATGATGGTGGTGATGTTGATGGTGTTGATGATGATGGTGTTGATGTTGATGTTGATGATGGTGGCGATGGTGGTGTTGATGGTGTTGATGTTGATGATGGTGATGTTGATGATGGTGTTGCTGTTGGTGATGATGGTGTTGGTGATGATGATGTTGATGATGGTGATGTTGATGATGGTGGTGATGTTGATGGTGTTGATGGTGGTGATGATGATGGTGTTGATGGTGGTGATGGTGTTGATGGGGGTGATGGTGGTGATGGTGGTGATGTTGATGGTGTTGATGGTGGTGATGTTGATGGTGGTGATGGTGGTGATGTTGATGGTGGTGATGATGATGGTGTTGATGTTGATGGTGTTGATGATGGTGGTGATCATGATGTTGATGATGATGGTGTTGATGATAATGGTGTTGATGTTGATGTTGATGATGGTGGTGATGATGGTGGCGATGGTGGTGTTGACGGTGTTGATGTTGATGATGGTGATGTTGATGATGGTGTTGCTGTTGATGATGGTGATGATGGTGTTGGTGGTGATGTTGATGATGTTGATTGTGTTTATGATGGTGGTGATGATGATGTTGATGTTGATCGTGGTGATGTTGATGGTGTTGATGTTGATGGTGGTGATGATGGTGGGGATGATGGTGGTGATGGTGGTGTTGATGGTGTTGATGTTGATGATGATGATGGTGGTGTTGATGTTGATGGTGGTGATGTTGATGGTGTTGATGATGATATTGATGATGGTGTTGATGATGGTGGTGATGATGGTGGTGATGGTGGTGTTGACGGTGTTGATGTTGATGATGGTGGTGATGTTGATGATGGTGTTGTTGTTGATGGTGTTGATGGTGATGATGGTGTTGATGTTGATGATGTTGATAATGGTGATGTTGATGATGGTGTTGATGTTGATGATGTTGATGATGATGTTGATGATGTTGATGATGGTGTTGATGTTGATGATGGTGATGATGTTGATGATGTTGTTGATGTTGATGATGATGGTGGTGATGTTGATGATGGTGTTGATGGTGTTGATGTTGATGATGTTGATGATGATGATGGTGGTGATGATGATGATGATGTTGATGATGTTGATGATGGTAGTGATGTTGATGGTGTTGATGTTGATGATGGTGATGATGTTGATGATGGTGGTGTTGATGTTGATGATGTTGATGATGATGTTGATGATGTTGATGATGGTGTTGATGATGATGTTGATGATGTTGATGATGGTGTTTATGATGTTGATGATGATGTTGATGATGGTGTTGATGTTGATGATGGTGGTGATGGTGGTGATGATGGTGGTGATGTTGATGATGGTGTTGATGGTGTTGATGTTGACAATGTTGATGATGATGGTGGTGATGATGATGATGTTGATGATGTTGATGATGGTGGTGATGTTGATGGTGTTGATGGTGTTGATGATGGTGTTGATGATGTTGATGATGGTGGTGATGGTGTTGATGTTGATGATGTTGATGGTGGTGATGATGTTGATGTTGATGATGATGTTGATGATGGTGTTGATGTTGATGATGATGTTGATGATGTTGATGATGGTGTTCATGATGTTGATGATGATGTTGATGATGGTGTTGATGATGATGGTGGTGATGATGTTGATGATGATGTTGATGATGATGGTGTTGATGATGTTGATGATGTTGACGATGGTGTTGATGATGATGTTGATGGTGTTGTTGATGATGATGTTGATGATGTTGATGATGTTGATGATGATGTTGATGATGTTGATGATGGTGTTGATGATGTTGATGATGATGATGTTGATGATGGTGTTGATGATGATGTTAATGGTGTTGTTGATGATGATGCTGATGATGTTGATGATGATGTTGATGATGATGATGTTGATGATGGTGTTGTTGTGTGCAGGATTCCTCAGCCGGAGACGCTCAAGGCCGGAGTGTTGGAGACCAAAGTTAGCCGCTGCGTGGTCTGCATGAAGCGATAGACACGGAGACACACGGAGACACACGGAGACACACGGGGACACACGGAGACACGGAGACAGGGGGACAGGGGGACACGGAGACAGGGAGACACACGGGGACACACGGAGACACACGGGGACACACGGGGACACACGGAGTCACACGGGGACAGGGGGACAGGCGGACACGGAGACACACGGAGACACACGGGGACACACGGAGACACACGGAGACACGGAGACAGGGGGACACGGAGACAGGGAGACACACGGGGACACACGGAGACACGGAGACAGGGGGACACGGAGACAGGTGGACAGAGAGACACTGAGACACACAAGGACACGGAGACACTGAGACACTGAGACACAAGGACATGGGAACACTGAGACACACAAGGACACGGGGACACGGAGACACACAAGGACACGGAGACACACAAGGACACGGAGACACTGAGACACGGAGACACACAAGGACACGGAGACACTGAGACACTGAGACACACAAGGACATGGAGACACGTGGCCAAGCTGACAGGAGGTCACTTTGCTATGTAGTCGCGTTTTACTCTCAAATGGTGCTCATACTGCAGGGAGTGAACACAACCACCACAACCACAACAACCACAACAACAACCACCACAACCACCACAACAACAACCACCACAACCACAACAACAACCACCACCACAACAACAACCACCACAACCACCACAACAACAACCACCACAACAACAACCACCACAACAACAACCACCACCACCACCACGATTACCAGAATCGCCACCGTTACCACCACCACAACAACCATAACCACCACCACCACAATAACCACAACCCAGACCAAAATCACGACCACCATCACCACAATCACCACCATCACCACCACAATAACCACAATCCAGACCAAAACCACGACCACCACCATCACCACCACCACAATAACCACAACCCAGACAAAAATCACGACCACCATCACCACCACCACCACCACAATAACCACAACCCAGACAAAAATCACGACCACCATTACCACCATCACCACCTTCACCACAATAACCACAACCCAGACCAAAATCACGACTATCATCACCACCACCACCATCACCACAATAAACACAACCCAGACAAAAATCACGACTACCATCACCACCATCACCACAATAACCACAATCCAGACCAAAATCACGACTACCATCACCACCATCACCACCACCACCACAATAACCAGAACCACCTTGAAGATCTCTCCCTGCAGATTGCCGGTGCTTTCCCACACACTTGCCTCGCTGATCGTAGTCATCGTCGGAATCATCGTCGCTGTAACCTTCGCTGGAATAGTCGTAATCGTAGGAGGAACCTTCGCCGGAATCCTAGTCGCAATCGTAGGTGTAACCTTCGTGGGAATCATTGTCGTAACCGTCGTTGTAATCACCGTAATCATCGTCGTCATCATTGTCGTCGTCGTGATCGTCGTCGTGATCGTCGTCGTTTTATTTTCAATGCAGAGCAGCGAGGACGGAACGAGTGTCGCCTCTGTCTGTTCACGGCTCTCTCGGTCTCTCTGGAGCTCAACGTCTAGCACCCGCCCACTTGTGCCTAGCCACGCCCACCCGGCCCCTAGCACCCGCCCACTTGTGCCTAGCCGCGCCCACCCCAGCCCCTAGCACCCGCCCACTTGTGTCTAGCCACGCCCACCCCGGCCCCTAGCACCCGCCCACTTGTGCCTAGCCACGCCCACCCGGCCCCAAGCACCCGCCCACTTGTGCCTAGCCGACAGTTTTGTTTTTTTCACCTGAGGAAGGCTACTTGTGTTGTGGCCGAAACGTCGTGAGAATTTTATTTTATCATGTTTTATTTTTAATATTTTTTTAAATTTTATTTCCATTCTACGTGACTTTACCGAAAGAACCAAGAAGATGAATCCCTGCAGTCACGAAAGCTTTAAATGGAAATTTAGTGTATAGTAGTGTAATGTGTATAGTAGTGTAGAAGTTTGTAGTAGTGTAGTGTGTATAGTAGTGTAGTGTGTATAGTAGTGTAATGTGTATAGTAGTGTAGTAGTTTGTAGTAGTGTAGTGTGTATAGTAGTGTAGTAGTGTAATGTGTATAGTAGTGTAGTGTGTATAGTAGTGTAGTGTGTATAGTAGTGTATAGTAGTGTAATGTGTATAGTAGTGTAGTAGTATATAGTAGTGTAGTGTGTATAGTGGTATATAGTAGTGTAATGTGTATAGTAGTGTAGTAGTTTGTAGTAGTGTAGTAGAGTCAAGTTGGGACTCATGAACAAATCGACTTACGAACGGACCCCTCTGTAAACCCAACTCGTTCGTAAGTAGAGGAGCTATTGTGTTTATTTATACTTCAGGAGGAATCCGATGAGCTATGAAGCTCTTTTTAATCACAGATGTCCAGTAGGGGCACAGGTTCAGAGCGTGACAACACTACAAACACGTGTGAGTAGTGCAAGAGAGGTAAACAACTCAATAACATTTTTTTTATTTAAAGCTTTCGTGACTGCAAGGATTCATATTCTTGGCTCTTTCGGTAAAGTCACCACGTTAGAAGGGAAACAATAAATTTAAAAAATATATAAAACAATAAAATTCTCACGACGTTTCGACTGCAACACAAGCAATCATCATCAGGTGTGAAAACCACAGCAAGAAAATTTAAAAAAAACAACGCCACTTTTTTCAATTTTTTTTCAAATGTTCTTGCTGTGGTTTTCACACCTGATGATGATTGCTTGTGTTGCAGTCGAAACGCCGTGAGAATTTTATTGTTTTATATTTTTATTATTTTATTGTTTCCCTTCTACGTGGCGACTTTACCGAAAGAACCAAGAATATGAACCCAAGAACACACAAATTACAAACTCAACCCCATACCACCACCAACTATCCATATCCATGAAGACAAAGGTCCCCCGTGTAGCCTCGACATACTGCTGGGGCAAGTGCTGTTAGTAGCGAGTAGCAGCACCACCTATGAAGGTAGACACAGACAAAGGTCCCCCGTGTAGCCTCTAACAGGCTGTAGGGGCAAGTGCTGTTAGTAGCGAGTAGCAGCACCTATAAAGGTAGACACAGACAAAGGTCCCCCGTGTAGCCTCTACAGACTGCTGGGGCAAGTGCTGTTAGTAGCGAGTAGTAGCAGCACCTGTGACGGCTACCGGCGCTGTGGCACACGAGGGGGTGGGTGGCCACCAGCACCACGCCCGGCCGCCTTTGTCTCCCCCAGTGGCGACGTTTACAACACATCGCACCGGGTACTCATTCGAGGCTGAGTCGATCTAGGGGAGGCCCAGGACCGGGTTCAGATAATCGTCATTGGGTGTTGTTGGCTGTGGTGGTCGTGACATGGAATCGAACTTTGGTTGCCGAGTTCGGAGTGCAGTAGAGCAATATTTAGAAATAGGGAACCGATTACCAAAGTCTATGGGGCAATGTTGAGATAGGGAACCGGTTCCCATAGAAAGTCTACGGGGCAATGTTGAGAGATAGGGAACCGGTTCCCATAGAAAGTCTACGGGGCAATGTTGAGAGATAGGGAACCGGTTCCCATAGAAAGTCTACGGGGCAATGTTGAGAGATAGGGAACCGGTTCCCATAGAAAGTCTACGGGGCAATGTTAAGAGATAGGGAACCGGTTCCCATAGAAAGTCTGGGGCAATGTTGAGAGATAGGGAACCGGTTCCAATAGAAAGTCTATGGGGCAATGTTGAGAGATAGGGAACCGGTTCCTATAGAAAGTCTATGGAGCAATGTTGAGAGATGGTGAATCGGTTCCTATAGAAAGTCTATGGGGCAATGTTGAGAGATGGTGAATCGGTTCCCATAGAAAGTCTATGGGGCAATGTTGAGAGATAGGGAACCGGTTCCCATAGAAAGTCTACGGGGCCGTGTTAAGAGATAGGGAACCGGATCCTATTGCAAGTCGATGGGGCAATGTTGAGAAATCGAGAACCGAGACCCTCCGTGACCCCGCGTCCCCTCGTGACCCCTCGGTGTCACGTGGCCGGTGGCGCGAGGCAGGGGCGGGGTGCGGCGAAGAAGCCGCCGACACACCCCGCCCCACTCCCCCCCCCCCCGCTATTGGTCGGCACAGCCGGACGTGACGATCGAAGGGGAAGTCGCAGGGGCGGCCATCTTATGTAGGGGTGGCGCGGGGGGGGGCGACTACGCCACCGTATACGCGGGGCGTAACGTCACCGTGCGTCCCCTTACCAACATGGCGGACCCCCTCTCCACCCCCCCCTTCCGGCTCCTCCCCCGGGCCTCCGCCCCCCACCTCGGCGATGACGCCCCCCCCCGGGCCCAAATTGCAGCGCGCGATGTAACTCCGCAGCCGGTTGGTCGAAGCGCGCCCCACGTGGCGGCGCTCGACCAATGGGTTGAGGTGTCAGAGAAGAGGGGGGGCGGGGTTAAGGAGTGTGTGTTGGGGGCGGGGTTGCGGCGGCGCGCGCCAAGTGGACGGCCGTCAAAATTGTCTTGAGGTAAAACTTAGCGAAAACACACATACACACAAACACCACAAAAAAAACACCCCACTTTAAAAATAGCAAGAAAATAAATTAAAGAAACTTTCTAAAGAGTTATCGGCAAACTTTTGCACCCCCCCCCCAAAAAAAAAACGCCGATCTTTCTCGCGGGGTTTACCTCAGATTTTTTTTATTTATTTTTTACCTCAGATTTTAAACCTCCTATAGCTCAACTTTACCGCGCGGGGTAGTGGGGGGGGGCGGCGGCTGTGCGGATTGCGCATTGCTCCGCCAGCCAGCCAACATTGCAGTTTTGACGACGGTGGTAGTGGTTGTTGTGGTGGGTGATGGTGATGATGGTGGTGGTGGTGTAAGCGATTGCGTGACGCTGATGCCGGGTCGCGAGGGGGTGATGGTGGCAAACGGTGGGGACGACGCTTCGGCGCGTTTTGCGAGGGATCGCCTCGCGAAGAACGCGGCGATTGTGGCGATTCCTCACGGCGATGTTCGTGGTAATTTTCCAAGAGACGATGATCGCGGTGTTGTGGCGATTATGGTGAGGTTGTTGGTGGGTGTCGTTAACGGTGACGTGGGCAAGATGGGTGTGGTGGTGGTGATGATGGTGGT